GTGGAGGTCAGCTCTCTCTCTTCCCACCATGTGGCCCTGGCCAGTGGGATTGGTGACAACACCTTTACGCTGCTGAGAGCCCTCCCCAGCCCTCCCCTGTCTAATTTTGCTGGTTTACTGTGACTGATTGCCTGCCTTCTTGGCTAAGTTGCTGGCTGTTTAACCTCAGTAGTTGCCTAGGTTTGTAGCCACGCAGAGGCTTAGGCAGAGGCTGCACTCACACCTTGAGTCCGTTGACACCTACCTTCTGCTAACTTTGTGCACGTGGCTGGGCTTTTCCAGGTCCCTTCAGTCGTCTTCATTCCTGCATAGTGTCCCATTCAGTCAAGGAGATGTGAAGAGCTACTGTTCTGCCTGTGCTCTTACTAAGAGCCCCATGTTAAGTTTCTCACCCTTTTACACTTTGAACCAAGACGGCCATCTCAAACTGACACTGACTTTGTGAGATGGCTCTTGCTGTCAAGACTGATAACCTTAGAGGAAAGAACCTAGTACTGTAGGCTGTTCTGTGACCTCCAGGTCCATCCTGTGGTCCTCCCATACTCACACATTCACACACTCACTAACACACACACACACTCACACCAACATACTCACACACACTCACACCAACATACTCACACACACTCACACTAACACACTCACACACACACATACACACATGCTTTTTTTTCTTAAGTTTCTTCAAATCAGTTCACCATTCTCGCTGGAAAGGCAAAGCTTTGGGGCCTTCTCCGTGCTGCATTGAATCTTACTCCTTTGGAAAAAGTTGCATCCAATTCAAAATTTGTCAAACAAAATGAAACCCAAGGTCTGGTATTTTCATCAGAGAATTCAACCACACATTCATAGAAGAATGCAGTGGTTTGAGCAAGCTATCCCCTGTAGTGTCCAACATTTGGACACTTGGTCCCCAATTGATGGCTTGGTTTGGGGAGGCTTAGGCGATGTAGCTTTGTTGGGAAAAGCTTGCCACTGGTGGCAGAATTGCAGTTTTAAAGCCTGCTCCATTTCCAGTGTGCTCCCTGTGCTCTCGAGGCTGAAGATGTGAGGCCTCGGCTCTCCGCCTCATCAAGACTTCACTCTGCCATCGTGGGTGCTGGGACTACAGCCCACACAAAGCTTTTCTTCTGCCAGTAGTGGCTTTTTCTGAGCAATGGAAAAGTGACCTGTATGAGTTAATGCCAGGGTTATACACATTCTGCCAGAGAGAAGAGCAGCATCTGTAACACGCTATATGTAAGACATATGGCACACGTACCAGGCTTTTTCTTCTGGCCCCCAGTCAGCTCCCAAATCATGACACAGAGACTTTATTATTAGCTTTGAATGCTCTGCATAGCTTAGGCATATTAATTTAAATTAACCTGTTTCTCTTTATCTACCTTTTGCCTCAGGACTTAATTACCTTTTCTAACTTTGTTTCTTTTTGTTTTTTGAGACAGGGTTTCTCTGTATAATAGCTCTGGCTGTCCTGGCACTCACTCTGTAGACCAGGCTGGCCTTGAACTCACAGAGATCCACCTGCCTCTGATCCAGAGTGCTGGGATTAAAGGTGTGCTCCACCACCACCCGGCTTAATTTTTTATTTATTTACTTATTTTTTACATTCCAAGCCCAGTTCCCCGTCCCTCCTCTCCTTCTGCTCTCCTACTCCCCCCCCCCCCACCTCCCATTTGCTCCTCAGAGAGGGTCAGGCCTCCCCCTAGGAAGTCTACTACATCTGTCCCATTATCTCGTTGAGGCAAGGCCAGGCACCCCACTTCTGTCTCCTCTGCCGCGTATTATGTGACAGGGGCCAGTCTCCCAGGGACCTCTGTCTCTGCCTCCTCAGGGCTGGGATTACAAGTGTCCGCTACTACACCTGGCTCTTTAAGTGTGGGTTCTGGGAACCAGACTCCAGTCATTGTACTTGTAAGATAAGCACCATACCAACTGAACTATCGCGCCAGCGTAGGAGTTAGTTTCCTTGCGCTTTGCTTATTTCTAGTTGTTACCGTAACCATCGCTCAGTGTGTGTGAAGAAACACCTGCCGCAGCACATACATGGAGGACAACCTTCGGAATTGGTTTTTCCCTTCTACCATGGGTTCCAGGGATTGAACTCTGGCTGTCAGGCTTGTACTCCAAGAGTTTTTACCTGTGAGCCATCTCTCCAGCGCCCCCGTCCTCTCCTTCCTTTCCTTCTTTCCCTCCCTCTCTCTCTCCTTTTTGAGACAGGTTCCTGCTATGAAGCCCAGGCTAACTCAGAACTCAACAATTCCTCTGTCTGCATCTCCCAAACACTGGGATTTCTGATGTTCATTAACACACCCAGCCAGTTTCATTGTGTCTATGGCTGAACAGTATTCGTGTGTGTGTGTGTGTGTGTGTGTGTGTGTGTGTGTGTGTGTGTGAGAGAGAGAGAGAGAGAGAGACAGACAGACAGAGACAGAGACAGAGACAGAGAGAGACAACAACTGATAGACATAGTGTGTGTGTGTGTGTGTGTGTGTGAGAGAGAGAGAGAGAGAGAGAGAGAGAGAGAGAGAGAGAGAGAGAAATTTTTTCCATTCAACAACTGATAGACATACAGATAATGTACCTGTTATGGCCATTCTGAGTACAGCGAACACAATTTTAACAAGAAAATCTAGCAAAACATAAAAACTGATATATCATAACCAAGTTTCACTTGTTTTGTCTTTTAAAAAATGAGATCAGTTTAATATGTGAAATATCTACTTTAAATAATTTATAACTGACTAAAAAAAAACCTATACAGGGGGTGGAGAGATGGTTCAGTGGTTAAGAACACTGACTACTCTTCCAGAGGACTCAAGTTCAGTTCCCAGCACCCACATAGCAACTCACAACTGTCTGTAACTCCAGGATCCGGCACCCTCACACAGACATATATGCAGGGAAAACACCAATGCACACAAAATAAAAATAAAATAAAAGTATTAAAAAACAACCACAGAAGCTAGGACCAAGGTTATACACGAAAGCCCAAAAGTATTTTTAAAAAAAAGTATACAGCAAAGAACACACCTTTAAATATAGATAAAAGCTGTGGAGCTGAGAAGTGATGGTTCATGCCTTTAATCCCAGCAATTGGTGTGTGTGGGGAGGGGGAGTGAAGAGATGACTCAGCAGTTAAGAGCACTGGATGCTCTTCCAAAGGATCCAGGTTCAATTCCCAGAACCCACATGGCAGCTCACAACTGACTGTAACTCCATCTTAGGGGATGTGACACCTTCATACCAACACACATACAATAAAGTTAAAATAAAGAAAAAAAATCCCAGCAATTAGAAACAGAGACAAGCAGATCTCTGAGTTTAAGGCCAGCTTTGTCTAACGGGGATACACAGAGAAACCTGTCTTGAAAACCCAAAAACCGCACTCGGGAGGCAGAGGCAGGCACATCTCTGTGAGTTCGAGGCCAGCCTGGTCTACAGGGAGAGTTCTAGGACAGCCCCCAAAACAATACAGAGACACCCTGTCTTGAAAAACCAAAAAAGAAAAGAAAAGAAAACCCAAAACCTGGCCAGGCATTGGTGGCGCACTCATTTAATCCCAGCACTCAGGAGGCAGAGGCAGAGGCAGGTGGATCTCTGTGAGTTCTGTAGCCTCTTCTACAGAACAAGTTCTAGCATAGCCTCCAAAACAATACAGAGAAACCCTGTCTCGAAAAAACAAAAAACAAAAATAAATATAAACAAATGATATAAAATAAATTAAAGAAAAAAGAAAACCCAAAAACCAAACCCAAAGAAAAAGCGGCGGTAAGTATGAATGAATCCTTCCTTCCTAGAATGTCCGAAAGCAGTATTTCCCAAATGTTGCTCTTTACAACATTCTCGGAAGGAAAAAGATGAAGAGGATAAGTAAGTTTGAGAATGCCTGCATGCTCTTCACACTCTATGTCTTGGAGAGTCACAGTGCCTTAGTATTACCACATCAAACACGTTGAGCAACACTCTGGGGAGGATATTAGCTTATCTTTGCTTAAATAGCTGTTCTTCCAAAGTCCCCTAAGCAAGCACAGCATCTTTTTTTTCTGAAGAAGGAATCTGGACTGGCTTGTCCAGTGGGCAATGCATGCATTGCCTTTCCTAGACTAGTGTGCCCTCGAGCTAGTGGAAAGAGACCCAGCCCCACAGACTGCGGTCCGCCGGTAAGTAGCTATATGCTCTCTGCTATTTCATTCTCATTGCTGTCAGTTTATTCCTCTGCAAAGAAAGGAAAATGATATTTAGCTGTTTAAGCTCCTGACCAGCTCTGGATTTATATTATCACACGCTGGCCATGTTTCTCTACACTCTTACAGGTCACAGAGAATCTGAGCAGTATATCCCCAGCTCAGCTTTGCATTCACCAGGAATCAATTAGTGTCAAGCACATACTTAAACACAGCAGCTTCAAATCTCCAGGGTTAAGCCAGTGCGGTGGGACATGTGCTATCCCAGCACTTGGGAGACGGAAGCGGGAAGATAAACAGTTGAAGGTCTGTCTTGACTACACCAAGTCCAACCTGGACTATATGAAACCCTGCCTCAGTGCGGGAGGGGGCTCAGAGGAAAAGGGCTCTTGACTCAAGCCCGATAAGGTGAGTCTGGTCCCCAGAGCCCATATAGCGGAAGGAGAAGATTGACACCTGAAAGTTGTCCTCTGACCTCCACACCTATTGTAAGCATGTGCACTCACATGTAAATAAATGTAATTAAAAAAACAACATGTCTTGAACACATTATCTACTTTTGTTCTTTTTTGGGGGGAGAGGCAGGATTTCTCTTTGTAGCTCTGGCTGTCCTGGAACTCCCTCTGTAGACCAGAGCGGCCTTGAACTCACAGAGATCCACCTACCACTGCCTCCTGGAGGGCTGAGATTTAAGGTGTGTGCCACCACCGCCACTGCCTGACTCGTTTAGGCATTTTTTTTTCCAGGTGCTTGCATTTTTTATTCCAATTGTACAAAAATAAAATGTATTGAAATACAAACAGACTGGAAGACAATGGCAAAAACAGTGACAGGGGCTATCTTTAGGAAGTGAAAAAAAAAGTAGGGCTAGCAGAGGTTTACTTTTCCCCTTTTCAGTGATATGTTAATTTTTATAACCAGGAAAAAACCATCAGGTGATTAACTCTGAGATTTTTCTGTTGATGTTTGGGCATCTTATAAAACATCCTTTGTTGACATCCTACAAATGATACCGTCCAATAATGTCCCAATACTCTCTTCTTGTGATGACAGTTTATATATCTTTTTGACTTCTGAGAGCTTTGTTATTTCTGGAAGACATTCCCAAGGTACCTGCTGGCCTTCCACTTGAGATATTAGGTGCTCTTGGTGTATTGGTTTTTCTCCTTCTTCAATGTAAACAATGAGAACTGAAGTGTTACTTTCTGAGATACCAAATTTCTTCAAAGCCTCTGAAATATTATTTGGGGAGAGGTTGAAGATGATTTCAGTAGACAGAGTCCTTGTCTTCATTTTTCCCAGTTTGTGGAGATGAACAGCTTTGTTTGCTGCCACAAGTATCTGAAATGGATCGACGATCACATTAGGGTTTATCAATGAGCCATTGATAGATCCTTCCATGGCTTTTTTTTTTCAAGTCTCCTGCATTTTTTACATCTTTAAATAACAGAAGGGTCACTCTGCATTCAGGAAACAGGTCCAACTGCTGTGATAACTGCATTTCATAGACAAGGAGGACACTTCAGTCTGCTGTCCGTTTCAGAAGATCGTCCCCTCGGAAACAACGCTCTGCACTTCCGGAAGTGCCCCATCGTTCCCCATTTAGGCAATTTTTACATTAAATATTATGTTTCTACTTAACATACCAAAAAGTGAATACCATTCCTACACTTACTGAGTTTACAGTTTAGAAAGACAGGCATTTGTACAGTGAAACAAAATTCAATGCTGGGGAAGCCCTCAGAAGAATGGAGAAACATGCACAAGCAACCTTTGCAGGTTTTCGTTGCTCTTGAGCATTTTCATTTATTCCATGACAATATCATAAGGCATATAATGTGTTTTGATTATATTCATTGCCCTTTTCTTATCCCTTCCTACTCCTGCAGAACCATTTCATCCTCCAAAGCCCCCCCACTCCTATGTTCATGCCTTTTGTTGTTTCTGTAACCCACTGAGTTTCCTCAGTGTACTGGCTATTTTTTATATTAACATTATCTGAAAGGGAAAGCTCAATTAAATATATCCATAAGATCTGACTTGTAAGGCATTTTCTTCATTGGTGATTGATGGGAGAGGACCCAGCCCATTGCAGGTGGGGCCATCCCTGGGCTGGTGCTCCTGGGTTCTGTAAGAAAGCAGGCTGAGCAAGTCTTGTGCAAGCCAGTAACTCCTTCATGGCCTCCACATCATCTCCTGACTCTGGGTTCCTGCCCCGACTTCCATCAATGATGAACAATGACATGGAAGTATAGGTCAAATAAACCCTTTCCTCCCCAAGCTGTTTTGGTCATAGTGTTTGATCACAGCAATAGCAGCCCTAAGTCTGTGGGGCTGGGGTCATTTATTGAAGCCTGAGAAAATTACACCCCTCGTCCATTACCTACTAATAGCTCCTCAGTGGTGGAGTCTCATGAGCTCCTTTTATCCTTGGTAGAAGGCTGACGGACCCACTATTGTCCAGGCCTGCGTAAGTAACAGTAGCTGTTGTGAGTTCATTGGTACAATGGCATGTCACATCCAGAAGACAGTGTTTCTCAGCGGTCCTCCCCCATCTCCCAGCTCTTACTGTTGTGGTCCCAGGCTCTGAATCCATCCAAGCAGACCCAAGAGGTTATTGCAAGGCAAGATTTAATGCAAGGCAGGACAAAAGAAGGGGAGGGGGCTGATTGACCAGGGCTGCAGAACAGATTCAGGAGCTGAATTGTGAAACCCCCCCCCCATGTCAGTTGAAGCAAGTATTTAATCACAAAAATTACAAACATTTGCTGTCAAGTTACAGTTACAATTTTCACCAATCAGGATTTAGAGATTAGGGGCTTCCTTGAAGATTTCATCATTATCAACTCATATACAACACAAGCTTTTCAGTCCAACCAGTCAGATCCATTTGTTCCTTCTGTTGTTAGGACCAGCTATAATGCTTCTAGAGAACTAAAGATACATAATGACTATTTGTACGGTTTTAGGAGGTGGGTCAGCTGTAGAATGTTTCCAGCTCCCCTAGGGCCTGGGAACCTGAACTTTGTTTCACCCAACAGGTAAAATGGAGTCTAAAGTCAAAATGACAGTACTTATGACAAGGTGCTTTTTGCCTGTTCCCACCATTACATTCTTCCAGTTTTTTCTTTCAAGATCTGTCCTGTACTTGGAGTGGGGTGTGTGAGATAGTGTCTTGTTCTGTAACCTAGGACAGTTTCAAACTAGCAGGAATTTTCTTGCCTTTGACTCTCTCGAGTGCTGCCTTACAAGTACATATCACCATGCCTGGTACAATTTTAAATTTATTAAGTAACTTTTTGTCTTGGTTACTTGAAATAGAAATTTTAAACAATTTACATGTATAACCCTCTTTTTATTTAAAGAAAATAAATTAAAGTAACAATGTTTAGAAATTCTTCATTTTCCTTCCTAAAATATGTACATTTAGGGCTGGGGAAATGATTCCATGAGTGACTGTGCATACTGTGCAAGCATGAGTTCAAATCCCCAGCATCCACAGAAAATTCCTGGAGTAGCCTAGCTTGCTTGTAATCCAATGATTGTGGGGTGTGACAGGGCAGTTCCCGGGGAAGGAAAAGGCAGGATTGTTTTGGGGGCTTTTTGGTAAGCCAGCCTAGATAAAAATATTGCAAGATCCAGGTTCTGTGGGATACCCTGTCTCAAGGGAATAAAGCAGAAAATCACAGAAGACATTTGGTGTTCTTTTGGCCTCTCTGTATGTGCATTCTTAAAGCATGTGTACACAAACCCCTGATGTGTGCAAACACCCATATACCACACACACACACACACACACACACACACATTCATTTAATTAAAAAAACAAACACATTCAAACATCGCCGTGTATGACAACACCTCAGAACCAAAGGGAATAGTGGTCAAATGGTTTTAATCTTTTGAAAGAGCTGGGAGACTTACCTCTTTTGTACAGCAGTTAGTAAACAGCTTACCATTTCCCCAGTTATTGTTCAGAAATGGCCCTGCAGAGGTAAAATGACTCAAAGACAATATAATTGATTCACTGTTCACAGAAAAACCTCAACTGTGTTCCACATGAAGTGTCACACAGATCACTGTGACACATTGCACAGGAACATAATTGGCTAGCACATACAGTGATATGTCAGGTAGTTAGCCAAGTAGGCTTCATTATTGTTGAGTATTAAGATAGTGACTTCCATTGTTTCCTTATCATACATGTACAATAGAATTGCAGGTAATTTAGAAAGTCTGAGGTTTTGTTCTTTGCTTTTTAAAAATGTAGGGCTAGAGAGATGGCTCAGCAGTTAAGAGCTTACATAGCTCTTGTAAGAACCAGACTTCAGGTCTCAGCACCTACACAGACACACACACAAATACACATACTTAAAAGTGTTTGGATTACAGGCTTATGCTACCATTCTTTTCTATTTCATTCATTCATTCATTCATTCATTTGGTTTCTCAAGGCAGGGTTTCTCTGTATTATTTTGGAGACTCTCCTGGAACTCACTCTGTAGACCAGGCTGGCCTCGAACTCACAGAGATCTTCCAGCGTCTGCCTCCTGAGTGCTGGGATTAAAGGCATACGCCACCACGGCCCGGCCTTATGCTACAATTCTTGATTTATATGGTTCTGGGAATTAAACACAGGGTTTGTGCATGCTAGTACCAAATGTACTCCCTGCCCCTCTCTTGGAGACAAGGTCTTGCTAAGAAATTTTTTGGCAGCAGAGACAACTTAGTAGTTAAGAGTACAGATGCATGTGTGTGGGCACAGGAGCTGTCCACCTTGTTTTTTGAGACAGGGTACCTTACAGACCTAGAGCTCACAGATTAGGCTCATCTGACTGGCTGGCCAGCAAGCTCAGAGGTCCACTTGTTTCTCCCTGCTCAGTACTGAAATTAAAGCATATATCACCACACCTGGATTGACTTTTTAGAGATAGGGTTTTTCTGTGTAGCCTTGGTTGTCCTGGAACTCACTCTGCAGACCAGACTGGCTTCAAACCTACCTCTGCCTCCTGTGTATGATGGGATTAAAGGTGTGTGCCACCACTGCCTTGCTATACCTGCCCTCCTCCCTTACCCTGCCAAGACAGGGTTTCTCTGTGTAACAGCCCTGGACGTCCTGGAATTCACTTTGTAGACCAGGAACTCATAGAGAGCTGACTTCAATGCATGAACAACCACTGCCCTACCATAACTAACTTTTTAATGTGGGTTCTATGGGTTAAACTCAGGTTCTTAGGGGCTGCAGAAATGGGTCAGCAGTTAAGAGGACTAGCTGTTCTTCCTGAGGACTTGGGTTCAATTCCCAGGACCCACATGGTGGCTCACAACAGTCTGTGACTCCAGTACTAGGGCATCCAACACTTTCCTCTAGCTTCTGAGGGCAGCATGCATGGACCAGATATACACACAAAGTCCCTCTCTTCCAGTAAGAGCTGTAATAAAAAAATCGAGGATTAACTGACTACAAAACTCAAGCTGCAGCTTCTCTACTGTCTTCTTACAAGTACAACCTAAGTGGCAGATTTATGAACTCTTGAGAATTTGAGGAAAACAATGTGGCTGGAGAGTTGGGTCAGCGGTTAAGAGCACTGGCTGCTCTTCCAGAGGACCCAGTTCAATCCCAGGACCACATGGCAGTTTGCTGCAGTCCAGAACTCCAGTTCCAGTCCATGCTCACACAGACATACATGCAAGCAACACACCAAATAAAATAAATACATAAAAATAAAAATTCAGAAAAGAACGAATATTAAAATACACACAAGGGCTGGAGAGATGACTCAGGTTAAGAGCACCGGCTTTTCTTCCAGAGGTCCTGAGTTCAATTCCCAGCAACAACATGGTGGCTCACAACCATCTGTAATGAGATCTGGTATCCTCTTCTGGCCTGTAGGGACGCGTGCAAACAGAACACTGTATACATAATAAATAAATATTTTTTAAAAAAGAAAAATACACATAAAAGGTTATACATAAAGTACTAAGATATTCATGTGTCTCCTCAAATTTAATTGTGCCCTTCTTAGTTATGATCCGAATTCACCTTACCTTGCCAGTCCTTTTCCTGTGTGTGAGTATGCATGCAGACTGCACACACATTTGTGAAGCCAGAGAATAACTTTGTTGTATCCTTTGTTCCTCGGCCATCATCCACCTTTTCGTTTGAGTCAGGTTCTTTTCCTGTCCTGGGACTCACTGAGTTGGTTAAGTTAGCCAGCCACTAAGCCCTAGTGAGTGCTAGTCTCAGCCTCTCCAACACCGGGGTGATAATTGTGTGCCTGACATTTTTAATGTGGATTCTGGGGACTGAACCCAAGTTTGTACTTTTGCAATCATGTTACCAACTGAGCTCCCTCCTTTGAGGCAGGGTCTGGAAGTTGTTGTCAGAATACCACACCGAGCAGGGTGTTGGTGGCACACACCTTTAGTTCCAGCACTCAGGAAGACAGAGGCAGGCAGATCTCTGTGAGTCTGAGGACAGCCTGGTCTACAGATGGATTTCCAGGACAGGCAGAGATACATAGATGAAACCCTGTCTGGAAAAAACAAACAAACAAACAAACAAAAACAAACAAAAAGACCCTGAGCCTCTGACCCTTCTACCTCCATCTCCCCAGTGCAGACATGCACCACTGCCCCTGGTTTTTATGCATCATAGGAATCAGACCCAGAGACCCCTGGATGCCAGGCAAGCACTGAGCTACTTCCCCAGCCCTTCTGTCCTATTTCCATAAATTCAAGTCCCCTTGAAACACTTCCATGTTTCTGCTATACATCTGCCCCCAAGGAACACATTTTCATTTCCAACTCAATGCTTTTGCTCACAGCTTCTCCTGTGTCTTTATTAAATTTTACCTTTTCTTCTGTGTCCTAAAATTTGATTCCCTCAAGATACTTCTACAGACCACCAGCCTCTCCCCCACCCAAGTATCATTTATTCCTTCAATTACCTTTTTTATACAGTTTCTCTACCCCAGCTCACATTTCAAAAGCTAAGGGTGCAACAATAAAAAATAATGTCTGTCCTCAAAACAGTATTGATCACCCTAAAAGCAAGTAAATATGTACTTAAGACAAATGTACACAAACCCAGATATTATTTGAGGGAACAATATAATACAAAACCCACAGTACACTTATGTTTCAGTATTGTATTTTAGTTTTCTTTAGGAAGACTTGGCAATTTTTTAATGCTCAGGTTTATGAAGTTCTTCATTTAGTCCTGCTAGTCAAAAATGGGAGTGAGGGATCTTTTCACAAAAGCTCAATTCCTGTGCTGTGAATTTATTCACGTGTTTAGGGGAACAAAGAAGCTGGACAATGGCTTCAATTCCTTCTTCTTTCAGTTCTCTCTACCCAGTCACTAGGCATTTGATAACGATCATTATTGCCTACATGGGCAAAGTGACTGGGTGAGGGACAGAACTTTGCATGGAAGCCTGACTAGTCAGGAAGCTACACTACAAACAAGTGCTGTCCTCATCTGACAGTCTTAAAGATGACCGGATGTGTGGGGACTGAAGAGGTAAGCTGCAACAGGGAGCTCCATAGGACTTGGTATGCAGATAAGTCAGGAGCAGGGTGTTTCTGGGAACTGCCTTCATTCCAGGTTTACAAACCACTTAGACCGTGGTGCTATCATTAAAGAGAGGGAAAAAAAGAATTGATACTTGGGGAAAAATATACAAACTCATTTTGGGATAGCTAAATGAATAACATGACAGTCCTAGGATTATGTACTCAGTAGTTTAAGAACCAATAACACCATTAGCAATCATTAGCAATAATTGCAATTATATTATAGACCAGGCAGAATAAAGCCTTTTTCTTTTTTGTTTTTGGGACAGGGTCTCACTATATACCCCTGACTGGCTAGTCTAGCACTCACTATGTAGGCCAGGCTGGCCTCTGCCTTCTCACAACACGGCTGTGATTAAGACATAGTAACTTCCTTTTGTTGTTGTTGTTTAAAAGTGGATCTCTACATATTCAAGGACAGTCTTTTTCAGTTGTGACTACAAGTGTGTGCCACCAAGGATAGTCAATTTTTATGTTACAGTAACATAAATAAAACATTTGGATTTAGGCACTAGCTTAACCATTATTCCATTTTAGCTGCCTACAATTAAATATCTAGTTTATCAGTGGCTCCAGATTTGAAGGAAAGTAGTTTTTCTGAGTTCAGAACTTTGCTCTTAATCCTACATACCCTCACAGTAGCCATTAAATGAAGGGATTTTACTCCCATTGAACAGATTTTTGTTTTCAAAATTCTCAGAGAAATTAAATGTTAATAACTTGTAAAAGTA